AGCTGAGAGTTGCTAGGTTGAGTACTGACTGAGGCTACTGGTTAGAGCTGGTAAACTGAGGGAGCTGGAGGCAGTGTGAGCTGCTGGCTTGAGCTGAGGGACTGGGAGCCAGTGACCGTGTAACAGTGCCCGCTGAGGTGTTAACGAGCTCTTGGCTGGGCACGTCAGCGGGCTGCAGCTGGTGCTGATTGGCTGGCGAAGGTGCGTAGCGGGAGGGGAGCATCACCAGGGAGACCTCGACAGCAGCCTTTTCTTCCTGCTGGTTTATTTTTACACACTGCCTCCTCTCTGTGCGGCTGCCGGTACAACTTGAGGCATCTCCATACTTTGTCACAACAGTGTCTCAGGCTGGGTTTTTTATTTAATACAAAAATGTTCTCTTCTCCTTTCCCCCAGTTACACTGCAGTCTGCTTGCAAGAATGGGGGACGACCGGCCTTTCGTGTGCAATGCCCCTGGTTGTGGGCAGGTAAGTGTGCTTCTTTTTCACTTTCTTTTCCTGATTAATAGTTATGATAAGTGTTTTCATTGTCACTAATTACGCTACTGATAGTGACCTTGGAGTCAGTGTGTGGTACAGCAGGCATATGAGTCTCACTCCTGATTCTGAAACTGGAGCAAATTCTGGCCTGGGGTTCGGTTCTGGCTCTCCGTAGTAGTCTTCATCTTGGGCTTATAGAGATCAAACTAATAAGTGATTTTCAGTGGATACGTTTTGTGGGTTTTGTTGTTTCAGAGCTTAAAGTGTTGTGGTGGTGGGTGCTACTGCCTGCATTAGTGCATTTTCCTTGGATGATGGATTTCTAAAGCAGTTGTACTGCATCCTTTTTTGTATTCTTTGTAACCATGTTAAAGCTCAGCGGAAGAAAATCAAAATACACTCAACTTCTGCTGCAGGGCCTGAGTCCTGCCTTTCTTGCAGACGGCAAGCTATCTGACAAAGGTCAGCTCAGATACGGCTGATTAAATGCTTTTAGACTTGGAACTTGTTGTCGATCACAACCAGTTTTTTTTGTCGGTGCACGTACTAAACATTTTTTTAACACCTGTGCGCTGTCAGTAAAAAAAGTTGTCAAAGGTCATGACTGCAAGAGCTAGCAGGGTTGCTGTTGAAAGAATCTGCCCTGCACGCAAACCTTTTTTTCCTGTTACTTTGCTCATAGCTGATGGCTTTAGAACTCTTCGTTTGCTTGAGTTGTGGTGAAACAAAATCAGCCATGAAGCCAGACGGACACTATAGATATTAGTTCAGAACAGTAGCCTATGCTTTTAAATCAATTTTCCTGCCATTGCGGGTGTTAGGAGTAAACTGCCCAGCTGTGCTTCTGAAGCAGATTGCCAAGGGTCCTGCAAGAGATGACTGGACAAGATTTATGGATCAATAAGATACTAGAAAGCAAATGAGCCAGACAGGCCAAGTGACCTCTCCTGGTTTGTAAAGCTTTCTAATGTTTTCTACATCGGGGTTTCCTGAGACGGTGTTAAGTGATGGTAGACTCTGGTGTGTCATTAACTGACATGTGAAGACTAATTGGTGATAGACTTCCCACTTTTATCTTTGCCCACCTGAGTTAAGAATGAGCTCTGTCTCTTACTGAGCGGATGGAAAAGCTCTTCTGGGTTGTGCAGCTATTGCTGCTGTGTTTTAGTGCTTTCTAAAAATACCCCCCCACACACACACACACACTTCAGTGTTTACACTTTCTCGCTTGCAGAACTGTAGCTCATGTTGTGCCAGAAATAGCTTGGAGATGTGCAAGTGTGGTGCGCGCCTGCTCCCCTCCTCTTCCTCGCTTGCTGTGCTTCTTCAGTTTAACCTGCAGCCTGTCTTCTCAGCCAAGGGGGGCCTTTGTGTCAGTTTCCAGCCCTGGTTGATACCCCTGAAATGACCTTAAAACACAACAAGAAACAGTTAGGTGCATTCTTGACATCACCTACTGTAGTAGGATTTACATTGCTGTGATTTTAGATTACTTACCAGATTTCAGTGCCTTCTGACTTAATTATTCTAGTTCATTTTAACATGGGAGTTTGCCATTGTTTAGACAAAAATGCCATTGATTATTATTTGCATGGGAAGGCATATGTTTAAGATGTACAGTACCCTCCATGCGTATTGGGACAGTGAAGTCAAAATTGCCATTTTGCTGTATGCTCAAAACGATTTGGATTTGAGGTGACTGAGGCAAAAGTACAGCATGTCACCGTTTATTTCTGGGTGTTTCAGCGCTTGTGTGTGATACCATTTTAGAATAATAGTACTTTTTATGGTCAATACCCCTATTTTAGCTGAGTAAAAGTATTGGGACAATTGGTCGCCAGGTTTTTCTTATCAGGTTGATGTTTCCTGTTGCACCGATTCTGCACATTAAAGAGCTGTGAGTGTGTAGTGTTGATTTAGCCTTCACTCTTCCCCTTGCTGTCGGCCTTTAGAGGCTGTTGGCCTAAACCAACATGGAGACCAGAGAGCTGTCTGTGAAAGAAAGCAAGCAATTTGGATGCTGAAAGAAAAGAAGAATTCAACCAGAACCACAGCACAGAAACTGGGCATAGCAAAATCAGCAATCTGGAATATCTTGAAATGGAAAAGAACACTGTTGTGCTTAGCAAAAAGCAACAACCGGGTCAGCCAGGGAAAACAACTGCAGTTGATGATAGAAAAATTATCAGAGCTGTGACGAAAAACTCTAAAACAACTTTTGATGAAATTGCCAGCAATCGCCACTGTGCAGGGGTGAGAGTATCACAATCTACTTTTCCCAGCAGACTTCAACAGCAGGATTATAAAGGCTGCACCACAAGATGCAAACCTCTCATCAGCACCCAAAATAGAAAGGCCAGGTTACAATTTGCTGGAAAGTACAGAGAGGAGCCAGTAGAGTTCTGGAACAAAGTGCTGTAGACAGATGGGACAGATGGGACAGATGTCTACGAGAGTGATGGCAAGGTGCAAGTGTGGAGACCAGAACAAAGGGCAGACGATCCGAAGCCCATAGTCCCACTTCCCTGTGAGCGTGCTGGAGGTGGTGTGGGGGCTTGGGCATGCAGGCCGCCCCTGGAACTGTCTCACTCGCCTTTATTGACGACGTAACCAGTGATTGTAGCGGCAGAATGACTTCACAACTGTGTAGAAACATCCTGTCTGCCTGTGACAAAAAACTGCCTCCACACTCATTGGCCTGCACTTCCTCACGCAGCACGACAGTGACCCAAAACACACTGCCGACGCCACCAAGGAGATCATCAGGAGAGAAACAGAGGAGAGTCTTAGACTGGCCATGTCAGGCTCCCCATTCACATCCAATCAAGCGTACATTTCACTTGTGGAACTGAAGTCCGAAAGCCCCTAAAACAAACAGCAAAGGCTTGGCAAAGCATCTCGAATCAACACACCCGGAGTTTGGTGATGTCACTAGTGTTGCAGGATTGATGCAGTTATTGTGTCCAAAGGATTTGTAACTAAATACTAAGTTTTATACTGCTTTGAGTTAATTTGTCCCAATATGTACGCTCACCTAAAATGGGGGAATGGACCACAAAAAGTGGTATTCTTCTAAAACTGTACAACATAGAAGCACAGAAATACCCAGAAATAAAAGGTAGCACGCTGTACTTGCCCCATAGTCATCTTTATAATTAATAACAGGGAATCTTAAGCAGGATCCGAGTTACTTATTAGTAATAAGTGATTAATTTCAATTCCATCCATCAGAAGGTAAGATAGATTTTGCTCAAAGGCCCTCAGTGTGAATTTTGCAGGTAGTTGGGCTTTGGCTGAGTAGTTCCAGAATAGCCCCTTCAAGATTCACCCAGATTGATAAGAGTGTTTGAAGACCTCAGAGAGCTGGTGTCCTTGCTGAATTCTTGTCAGTGCTGAGTCCCTTTCAAGGAACAGATTGATACATCTTTCTATCAAACGCCCCCCTTCACCCCCAAAATAAAACGGAGATGACCTCAGCACAGCATTGGACTTTGTTAAGGAACTTCTTTACTGGGGAAGCAGGGATCAGAGTCTGCTGTTACAGCAAACGTCCCTGATTTCCGATTTGTGATTGTGGTTAGCATTACTGTCTTGCAGCGCTGAGGCTCTGGGTTCAATTCCAGACCTTGGATGCTGTCTGCATGGAGCTTGTATGTTCTCCCTGTGTTCCTGTGAGCTTCCTTTGGGTGTTTTCCTCCCACCATCCAAAAACATTGCTGGTGGGTTAATTGGCTTCTGGGGGAAAATTAGCTCTAATGTGAGTGTGTGTGACTCTCTGGCCTACAATGTACCAGTGTTCTGTCCTGAACCAATAGGTTCCAGCTCCCCTGAGACCCTGAATTATCAGAAGCAGTTAGAAAATGGATGGATGGGTGTATTTTAATACAATAATAGTCAAGAAACTGTTTGTTAGAATCTGGTCGTGTTTGGGCATTTCTATGATATCCGAATCATATGATCTCCGGAAGACCTTTATGGATCATGACTGGAAGAAGGTTCAAAGGAGCAGATGTGGACTTCCAGTGCCCTCCTGGGGGATTCTTGATCCAGTATTGTCTGTTCTTTGTTTCTAAAACATTATAACACTCACTTTGTCAGATGCCCTAATAATGTTTGGAAGTGCATTCCAGTTTCCAGGTGCATAGACACAGAAGCAGGGGACAAGCCATTTCAAACTTGGGAAGTCAGAAGTAAGATTTTCCAATTCAATTCTGGACTTGAAGCCAGGGAATTGACTCACGAAGAGAAGTAATATGACCATTGGACTGTACTTATGTTGTTAATGCTTAGAACAGTTACAAATGAGCCCATCTGGTGTGTTTGGCTCCAAGTAGGTAATTGATCTGTGGGCTTTATCAGCAGGTTTCTTGGAAGATGCCAAGGTATCGGCTTCAACAACATAGTTGGGCAGCTTGTTACAGACTCCCGCAACCCCGATAATGATTCTAGTTTCAGACTTTTGAAGAAGCTTTGGGTCAAAGGCAGTCATAGAAACCACGGGAAAGGGGACATGACAGCAAGCCAAGCATACATGAAATTTCACAGATGTGGACTTTCGCTAAAATGAGCACTGCTTTTGCCCTGCTGTTCAGCGCAGTGCTTTAATTAGATTTTTAAGTTTTGTTTTTGCCATCGCCCTGATGTCTTGCAGAGGTTTACAAACGAAGACCACCTGGCTGTCCACAAACACAAGCACGAGATGACCCTGAAGTTCGGTCCTGCCAGAACAGATTCTGTCATCATTGCAGGTGAGTTAAAGTGGGTTGGGGGCACTGGAGAGAGGCAGCTGGGCTGCGGATGACGCACATCTTTTCCCCACTGTTGTATTTATTCCATATATTAGTATAACTTTTCATCCGTAAAGGGTATTGTTATAATCATGTACATTTATTATTTGCTGATGATTAATTGCATTGATATAGCCCCTTTCATCCCAATGAGTCCCAAGTGCTTCACACAAAGAGAGAGATGCACCACGTCTGCCACTGAAGTACTGAAGTGTGTCCCACCTGGGTGTCCGCCTGGGGTAGCCCCTCTGCACAGCCTCTCGGGGCAGGAGAGAGAAGTTGTCGCACCTTCTGAATGAAGGCTTAACTAGGGAGAACAGACTGGAATTTAGCCAGGACGCTGGGATTAACACTCCTACTCTTCTGAATAGTGCCATGGCGACCTTTTTAAACTTTTTTAAATTTATTTAATGAACAGTTTTCATGTCAATTATATAGAGGTGTAGCTTTTTTATTCCCCTAAAACTAAAAAACTAAAGAAACTATTCTTTAGTTTACAATTACATTTTTTAGAGCTGTTTACGTTGTGCTTACAGAGACGTGATCAAATACAGAAACATTTTCCCTTCAAATGTACTGGTGTCATGGCAGACTTGTCTAATGATTTGTTTAATCATTTTGAAAAACACAATGACGCAGTAAGATTTACACAGAAATATTACAGCATTTTCCTTCACATAGTGAAATCAGGTCTTAATGGGGACGTCGTTTTTTTCATTTGTTAAAGGTTTCTGACTGTAGATTGAGAATGTTATCTTTTCTCATTCACAGTATCAGTCCACTGTTCAGTTGCTGTAGGTTCTGTAATGCACCATTTTCATGTGAGTGCTTTTTAACTAGCAGCTAGATGAACTCTCAATATACAGTATATCTGCCTTTTGGTTTAATGTCGATCACCCAAAAAGTTTCCCAAATACTTAACTGAGAATTCAAAAGATATACTTAAGTTTGCTAACTTATTAAAGGTTATGTGTATAAACTGCCAATGCCATTGTATCCATGGGCAGGTCCATAATATGTGAGAGATATTTGCTACCTGCTCTCAGTATAACCTCCAACACTGTGTTCACCCACTTATAGGGAACGTCAGCTGGGTTTAGACCGTAGTGAGAGAGGTTAGTTTTGCCCTTCTCATGATGTATTGTTGCAGTAGAAATCTTACTCGATATTAGAGGAACAGCACATTCATGCTTTTAGTTAAGTGTCTGTGCTTGGATGAGGAGAAAATAGCGCAGAGCTGCCACCTGTGGGATTCTGACTTAGAGAGCCTCTAAGTCTAACTGCCCCTTTTCTTTAACTTGTATTTTGGGGCTGATTTAAAAAAAAGAATCAAGATTATGAGCAGAAGACTCTCCCTATATGTAACCCTGTGGAGCTTTGCCCTGGTGACCTGTCATGACCCAGAAGTCAAGTCCACGCCTCAGTTTGCCTTCTCAGGCAGCAGTATGGAGCAGTGACAGGGGCCCTGGTCTCAGCACTGGAAAGCTCTGGATTCAGGTCCCAGGTGGTCAAACTGCTGTCGTACCTTGCTCAAGTGGACATCACTCGGATTCCTCCCAGTATAATGCCCAGCGGTGTAAATGGGTACAGCAGTTGTTTTGGATAAAAGTGTTAGCCAAATAGTAAACCAGGTGTCTCCGTTCCCTATACTGGGATGTTAGTTTGACAACTGTGGTCCAGAGGTCTAGGAGAAAAGAGCAGCCTTCAGATCCACCAACAGGCTGAGCTGATTGGTGCTGAAGGGTGAATAACATCATGTCAGTGGTGTTCTCGCCTCTTACAGTCTGAATAGTTAACTACAATCTGTATTACTGAACAATTGGAAAATTAAGTGATCTAACTGTATATCTCTCTCATGGCCTAAAGGCTGTTTCCATACCGTCTTCTTCTGCCTCCCCAGACCAGACCCCCACTCCCACGCGTTTCCTGAAGAACTGCGAGGAGGTGGGGCTCTTCAACGAGCTGGCCAGCTCCTTCGAGCAGGAGTTCCGCAAGGTCGTGGAGGACGAGGAGGACAAGCGTGGCAAGCCCCTGGTGAGGCGGGCAGCGGCGGGGGGCGGGGAGGGGGTACTGTTTATTCACCCCCTTTTGTTTTTTCAAAACTCCCTTCCTCATTGATCCACCGCTGTTATAGCTCCTAGTCTGTTTTGATTGGTGTCAGCGGCTGCATACTCCGAGTTTGAAAGCAGTTCCAGTCAGTGCCATGCCACAGAGACAAATGGGAATCTGATTTCTCTGAAAGTGACTGAAGGATCGAAAGTTTTTTAAAATGGGGTTGTCAGGAGAACTGCATGGTCCCGCTTGCAAAAGTGATAGCATTGGAGGGCTGGCTGAGCTCTTTGGCCCAGACGTTGCTGGGTTGAACCTAGGTCATGTCACTGGACTGCTGTTCCCCTACTGTGATTTCCCAAGTGGCATCAATCCTATACAAGCTCAAGAGGGAGTGAAGTATGCTTCCTCTGATGTTTTCTCTTGTAAGAGCTGTTGTCTTTTGTCATGCCTCATTCTCTCCTGAGATGGAATGGGGATTGTCATTGGGCAGTTATGTAATAAGTATTTGGTGATTCTAGATTTTGATATTGAATAAAGTGCAGGGATGGAAAGCCAGAGAGGAAGATCTACATCCAGGGGTTAACTAGTTCAGGGGGGTCCTGTGTCCTTTATAAATAACATTTAAATCAGTAAATGAAAATTCATTCCCATAAACCCCGTAAAGTTACATAAACTTTGCCAATAGATTTTGCCAAGTTTGTGAGCGTTGATTATTTTTCTTTGAGTACAGCTGGCCAGCTCCCAGCCTGGTGCCCTGGACATGACTTTGACGCCCCCTTCAGAGGTTAAAGTCAAAGAGGAGGAGCCTGTGGAGGTTGACTCCTCTCCTCCGAGCAGTCCTGACAGTATGTCCTCCAGCATGTCTGACTACAAGGAGCCGCAGGTGAGAGAGGTTTGACCGTTCGTCTTCGGCCATGTTCTTCCCCTAGTTTTGCAGTCGGGCTTACAGAGGCTTGTCTTACTTCCAGATCAGCATTGACTCTGGAAATAACATTACACACAAACCAAGCTAAAACAGCAAACGTGGTGGTACCTGGTAGTTAAGCCTTGCGCATTGTACAGGACCTCCTTGAGCAACTGCGAAGGTGGGTAGTGGTAAAATCCATGATCCAGTATATTTTAGCTACACAGGAGTTACGCAGAAAAGATGAATTGTTAGACTTAACCCTACATGGGTCCACCATTGTGTTTGCTTGTGGGCTGGAGAGAGGTTAGCGATGCTGTGTGGTGTTTGATTGCATGAAACTGCAAGGCAATTGACTACAGCGTAACCTTACTACATTGCCTTTGTCCACTCTCCCTAGGAGAATCCCCCCAAGCCGGCAGTCAGTTCTGCCCCCACCCCCACCATCGTGCGTCCAGGCTCGCTGCCCCTGCACCTGGGCTACGAGGCCCTGCAGCCCACCCTGCCTTCGCCCACCTCTGTCATCACACAGGCGCCCCCCTCCAATCGGCAGCTCGGGTCAGTGCTCCAGGCGTCTTCTGCTTATCGTGCCCAGTGCTAAGTCAGGGAACCGCTGAACATCGGACAGACATTGGCAGCAAGGCGGTATTGGCTTTAGAAATGCAGGCAGCATACAAAAGGAAAACTGTATTTCTGTATCTTTGTCTCTTCATGGCAGTATATAAAAGTCTGATTACAAAAGCAATTGCATTTGGGATTCCCTAAGTGGCAGTGCGCAGCCATACGAGTGCCTACAGGAGGTAGGGCCAGGAGTAGAAGGCCAGACCAGACTCTCTTGGCTCCTATCAAATCTGCAACTTCTGCAGCTTGCCAGGCACCTGCAGGCGTGCAGTGGCGCCAGATGGCGCTAGCTCCCTGTCACGCATGGTGGAGCTAGTGGAGCTAGTGGCCTGCCAGATGGCAAGTGGCAGGCGAGCGTGTCGGAGGAGTGCGTCCACTCCACGCATCATTCTCTCCAGAATCGTTGGCGGAGAGCCACGTGAAAAGAAAACAGTTTGCAATTCCTGTCTGGGTGGGTATGTAATAAGAAAATTAAAAAAGTGTTCATGAAAAGCCAGTCTCTCTGGACCGCTGGTGAGCTCATTTTCTTTTGTACGGAGAGTGCAGTTTGCTCACTATTTTTGCGGACAAGAGTAACATGTTCATGAAGGAGACAGCTTGCGGGCGTAACAGGCTCAGTGCTCGGAAAGAGCTACAGAAGGGAAGTCTCCCCTCTGAAATCCAGACAGTACCGAGCTCTGCCATAGCAGAGCACCGGTGTCTTGGTGTAGGGGAGTTATCCTCTGACCAGGGAGAGGCGGTGTGCGTGCTTGGGGCCCGTGAATGACAGGGATTGAATCCTGACAAGGGCAAGGAAGAGCTGTGCTCTTTATATGTTTCGAGTCCCACGGTGGCAAGAAAACAAGCAAAAGGAAAACTTGATAACTTGCTACTAATGTGTGCCTTAATGTTGTCTTATTATTCAGTTTGTTCTATCTTTTTTGCAGTTGTGCAGTAGCCTTGACACATTCTTCATTCAATGATACGTCTGCATTACTGCCTGTAATCAGGGCCACTCCCTCAGACTGTAACCTGTCTCTCATTCCTCCCTCTCTCTTGCCCTTGCTCCCTCTCTCTTTTTCTCCCTGTTTTTGGTCACCTATGACTTTTCTATTGCTTTCTCCTTTCCATTCTATGTATCTCTTTCCTGGCTTTCTCTCACCCTCTCCAGGTCTCCCACGGGCCCCTACCCAGTACTGATGCACCTACCCAATGGTCAGGCAGTGCCAGTCCTTCCTGGGCCCCCTGTGCAGATGCCCTCGGTCATTTCTGTAAGTGTCCTGGGCAGCGGCAGCTGTCTACATACCTTAGTTCTCTGACACGGCAACACACTAAGAGTATGGTGCTGTATAAGATAAACCTTGAACTGGGACTGAAGAACTACACAGTTTGCAAATGAAGGAATGAAGGGAAACTGTCTGGCTCATCCAGCTTTTTTGGCTGTGGTTGTCGCTTTCACAGCATTGATGGCAGCTTGTTTCACTCTTCCTCAACCCTTTGTGTACAGAATGCATTAAGTTGTAAATGCGCAACCCCATACTTCATATCGTATGGTTTTTGTTTCGCTGTTACGTCTGCACCTGTCATGACAGGCCATTTATGCCTGGAAATGTATCTGGTCGCTCTTCTCTGGGCTGCAGAGGATTTTGTTTGCAACATGATGACCAAATTGTACTTTTTAGATTTAATAAATTGTACAATTATAGCTTCATAAGCTTCATTATATGAAGTATATATATATACAGTATATAATTATAGCTTCATTATAGCTTTATAACGTTCTGATAGCCATTTTTTTATGTAAATAACGTGTCAGCATAACTACTATGTTTCTCGGAGACGTGGGGATAAAGGGCCTTTCTGACGTAAGATCAAGGAATCCATCATCCAGGAATCAGTCACAGTCTGCATATCCTGGGTTTCGACCCCAGCTGTCATTCCTGCTGGCTGTAGCTAATGTTAGATACCATGATTTGTGGCATTGAAGATTAGATGACTGGAATGCATTACAAACCATATCATTTGACTGTGGTTTTAACTTTAAACTGATGTGGTTATAATGCTGTGTCTGTATCTGTGTGGCTGTGCAGCTGGCCAGGCCGGTGTCTATGGTGCCCAACATTCCTGGGATCCCCGGCCCTCCCCTGGGTAGTAGCAGTGGCTCATCCTCACCCTCCGGCCACATCCAGCACTCCGAGGCCAAGATGGTGAGCAGCTCAACTGCAGCAACCTAGGGGCGGTGGATTCCAATGTAACCTTGCGTTTGTGATAACGAATTCAGAATAGTCAGCTCCCTCATACCAGCTTGTCTGGACGTATTGCAGCTCCATTCTTTGTTATTTTCAGTGTTACTCTTGGATCTCTCTGTAACTTGTCCCCAGAGGCTGAAGGCAGCGCTGTCCCAGCAAGCCCCCATGGCCCCGAACGGAGGGGGCATGGCCATGGGTTCCAGCCCCATGGTTCCCCAGAGACAGGAGCAGAGCCAGCTTTTAGTGCAGCACCCTGATGCGCCATCTCCTGCACAGCCTCAGGTAGAGGGCACACGCTGTACATTCACCCAATACACACAGAACCTGGCTCACTGCACAGCCTCAGCTAGAGAGCACACTCTGTACATTCACCCAGTACACACAGAACCTGGAGCATTGCACAAGCTTAATGAAAGTATCATAAAAGATACACTTGCCCAGTACACACACACACTGGAGCACTGCACAGGTGTACTGAGAGTAACACACTCACGGTACATACACACTGGAGTACCCTAACGTGCCTTCTGTCACACAGTCATTGGCACACCAACAGGCAGTGTACTGTACCCTCTCTCTGTAACTCTACACGCAGCTTCTTGTGTATGTGCTGCAACACAGTCTTCACCTCCTCTGCACATCCTCAGGTATCGCAGTGCCCTTGGCTCAGTAGACACACACCAGACACACCTTATAACTGTCTCGCACAACACTGCAGATCCTTGAGACCTTCTGCCCTGCTTCCAGGTGGGCTGACCCTCACTCACTCCGTTCTGTCCACCCCCCCCATGCAGGTGTCCCCCGCCCAGCCCACAGGTGGGCGCCGGCGGCGGGCAGCGGACGACGACCCCGACGAGAGGAGGCAGCGCTTCCTGGAGAGAAACCGGGCTGCTGCTTCCCGCTGCCGCCAGAAACGCAAATTGTGGGTCAACTCCTTGGAGAAGAAGGCGGAGGAGCTGACCTCCATGAACGTCTCTCTGTCTGTGAGTCTGGCCCCCTTTCCCCTTTGAACATAGTGTGGGGGGGGGAGTTTTGTCAAGTGATGTCTTTTAGCAAAAGGTTTTGTGCTAGAGTGTTTTCACTTTCCTGAAGCGGTTAAGTTACATGAAGAGGTTTAACCACAAATCAGAAGGAGTTAGTGACGCTATTTCTATGGATTATTTTTTATGCATTATTGTTACATGTATATACCTGTGTGTGAACGGTACATTGCAATCCTGTCTCAGGCTAACTACATAATTGCTTATAGATATTAATTCTCCTGAGCTATTATATTTAGGAAACTAACTCTAGCTACAAGTAAATGCACACTAAATCTAATTCATTGTTCTAAATCTAATTTAACCTGGCTTCCATCCACTTTCTAACCACTTCTTCCAATACAGGGTTGGGGGGGTAGCTGCAGCCTATCCGGGCAAGCAGCAGACGCAAGCAGCAGACACAAGACAGGGTACACCCTGGACAGGACACAGTCCATCGCAGGGCCGACAGACACAGATGCACATGCTCACACCAGGGCCAATTTTCCCAGAAGCCAATGAACCTGGCAGCATGTCTTCAGGCTGTTGGAGGAAACCCACACAAAAATGGGGAGAACATACAAACTCCATGCAGATAGCACCCCAGGGAGTGAACCCAGGGCCCCAGCATTGTGAGCAGTGCTAGCCACTTCTCCACTGTGCTGCCCTTAATCTTGACTTTATTTAGTTAATTCCTATGGGTAAAGCCTCCCGCTTTAAGTCGCTGGTCAAAGTTTATGCCCTTGGGGTCCTGAACCTTACATACTTTCATTTGTCTTATGGTGAAAATGTTCCTTTATATGTCATTTCCCTACCAGTTGCGACTTTCTGGTCCTTAACCCCGATGTATAATGGGGACCGCCAGTACTAGCAACTAAAGAGCACAGTGAGTGCATTGGTCTCCTCCTTTGTAAGGTTTGTTAAGGTGCGCTCACACCACATGCAGCATGGGTTCACAGGTTCTTCCTTCCAGTAGTGATTGGATGAGAACGTATTAATATTCATGCCCAATCGTCAGTGGGACAACGATTAACAACTGACCAAACTGGAACAGTGTTCCCTCTGCAGTGAACGTAAAATTGTTTGACTTGTGTGTCTAAGAACTAAATATTAAAGCAGTTTCATGAAAATGCCTTGTTAATGGGAAAGTTAAACAATTGCTCCTTTAACATACTTTTCTTCATGGATATTTTCTAAATAGGATTTCTACTGCTGCTTTTACTACTATTAAAACTGTAGTTCTAATCTAAAATAACCAACAAAAACCTGATTTCAGTATAGTCTGAGTTACAGTGACAGCCTGTTAGTCTCAATGCAATCGGAGTGTGCTTACGCTGCGATTAATTAGCCATGTTCCGTTTTCTTTGCATCAGAATGAGGTGTCGTTGTTGCGGAATGAAGTGGCCCATCTAAAGCAACTGCTCTTGGCTCACAAGGACTGCCCTGTCACCACCCTACAAAAGAAGAATGCTTACTTAGGTGAGAGAGGCAGGAGATGAGCTGGATTTTGTTGTGATGTGAGGTCAGGGGTGTTGTTGTGGTCTTCTGACCTCACTGCCCCTGTCTGGGGTTGTCCTTCCCCTTGTCCTGGAGAGCCTACGTCTAGTTAAGTTTTCATAGGTCATCTGTTTCTGAATCCTGGGAACACCTGTAAGTTATTGATGCATTAAGCAAGCCATGTATTATTTTAGGAGATCACTGGTGCTTTAGGGCTGAGAGGCACGAAGGCTTAAATGCTCTCAAAATAAGTTAATTCAACAAATCACCTGCTTAGCTGATCACATTGTTCCAAACCTTTGAAACCTGGTGATTTCGTCGTAATCTGTAAAACCTGCTGGATTGAGGCTCTCCAGTACCAGTATAGAACACCTCTGACCTGTGTAATTATTATAATTCATTTACGGCATTCTACAACTTGAAATAGATTTTGCGTAATCTTCAGAGAAACTAACAGATGATGATAAACTGTCTATAAGTATGTGAATGCCTGCCTGTCCTTTGGTTTGTCAGATTTTTTATTCTTCTGGCTGTCCTTTCCAGTGAGCTCACTGTGTCTATTTTTCTGTCCGTCCAGTGGGAGAGGAGAGCCCTAAGGACCCCTCGGAGCCTACAGGCTCCCCTGCCCCGGTCATCCAGCACAGCTCTCTGTCCTCCAGCCCAGCTGCTCAACCCAATGGGCTGAGTGCACGCGCCGCGGCCGAGGCGGTGGCCATGTCTGTGCTGGCGGGCATGGGCAGCCAGCGGGCCGAGCCTAACCCCGCCCACGTCATCATGGCCCCACAGTCGCAGCCTGCTGCCAGATGATGACCGCAGCCCTGCTGATAACATCAGAGCCTAGAACTAACCAATGGCCAGAGACCTGAGGAGGGCTAGAGGGTAGAGGAAGTGCCCAGATGATTTTTTTTTCCTCACTATCCCTCCTCTGCTCTCCACCTTACACCCCAGTGCTGTAACATCCTATCCCATCCCTGGCCTGGAGCACAGCGGCAACTGGGAATGAACTGGGACAACTGTGGAGATTCCTGTTAGTGTTGCCATAAACATCTGGGACTGGACTCTTTATCCCTCCTACTGATCCCCGACCTCTGACCCCTCCTCACCTGTTCTTACTAGACCGTACAGCTGTATCACTCCCCCTGCGCAGCATGTACCGAACATCGTACTGTTATACATGGATTCGCAGGCGCACATACACAAGTTTTTTGTCTGATTTGCTGCGGATCTTCCCTTTCTTGTCTCCCGTGATGCCGGTACCATCGCAAACCTTCACAGACTGTTCATGTCCCAGGCATTGTGTACGTAACTCCGAAATGCAGATTGCCCTTCAGCATCTGGCACCTCTTACAGCACACAGCATCCCTGTTTTTTATTGCAGGAGTCCTTCCAAAATGAGGTGCTATGTTTTGTTGTTTAGTGTTTGTTTCTCTTTATTTACTATGCAGGACGTTGCCATTAACAGCCACCACCGCTGCCACCTCTTTTGTCTTCAGTTACAGCTGTTCTAGCCAAGCTCCTCGTAAGCTGCAGACTGGGCAGTCCTCCTGTTCTGAAGGGTTGGGTTGACAATCGGATTTGTTCTGTGCAAGGAAGGATTGAAGACCAGAAGAAATGAATACAAAAAAATACATCAGAGATGGGGATCTTAAGCACTGGGCAGCTCCCTGCATGCACACGCTGGAGCCGAGTGTAACGTGCTCTCGTTGTCGTTGGCACACACCTCACTGCCTCCTCTCCATTAAGAAACCCCAGCCTGGGGCGTGCAGGGGGGAGGAGGAGAAGGCAGACTCGCAGATCCTTGGGTCCTCCTGTGTCTTGGAAGTCATTGTGGTGAACCATGACCTGACTTTTAAGAAAAGCGTTTTTCTTAACTGATCCAAACGGTTTAATTTACTTCCTTTTTTACCCTGTTAACCGTTTTTAACCCTGTTTAATCCTGGCTCCCTGAGAGAGACGACAATCTCCTGTTTTTGATTCTTACCCTGATCCCTTACCAGTGGTTTCACATACCACTAATCTTGAACAAAGTAATATTATTCCGCGTAAACTAATTTAGGAGTATAGCTAATCTTGGTCCGTTGAACCAGCCCTTAACTTAATATTGCCGTAGTCTAATTGTGTACGGTTACTGGGTTCTCTCTGGCCTCTTTGAGGGTTTGAAGTTCTTTGCTATGGCTGCACAGGGCCAGGAGTAGTGACCTGCAGTGGCTGTGGACAGACGCGGGAGATTTGTGCTGGTGCCGGGGGAGGAACAGCTGTGTCACAGTGCACATGTGTATGCATCTTGAGATGAACGGTTACAGCCAGTCAGCACAAGTGCCCAGGGATTTTGTTTTCTTTTGTGATCAATGCGCTGCCTCCCTGTGGTCATTTTTTTTGTTTGTTTTCTACCTGATGACATGCGTGAATGTACAGTTTGGTTCTTTGTTGTTCTTACTTTTTTAATTTAGAATTACCCATTATCTTTTTGTTCCACGTGCTGAATCTGGAATAGCCAGTTGAGTGTGTTTCGGGACCTTGACCTCTGTGACTGCACACAGGGTAGTGCATGCAGACTCCTCCCACCCGCTCACGTTCCAGCTACTTGTCCTTATCACATTGCAGACAGCACAGTACCGTACCTTGGGCTCAGTACAGACTGGAGGGGAGGCATGTCCCTCACCCACAACACAGTACCGTACCTTGGGCTCAGTACAGACTGGAGGGGAGGCACGTCCCTCACCCACAGCACAGTACCGTACCTTGGGCTCAGTACAGACTGGAGGGGAGGCA